CATCCGTAGCCTGCAGCATCACCCGCGAACTACAACCACCACAGCCCCCCCCACAGGCAACCACCGCCGCACCTCTTCACCTCCGGTTAGACAGGGATGACCGAGTCGCCGGAATTACCAGGGGCAGCGTCTCTTCATTCAGTTGTAATGACCCTTTATGAATTTCCTAGGTATTGAAGGTCATTTGCATCCGCTGTAATTTACCCATAGTTGATTGGTGATTATATATAGAGTTTTTGCCATTTTTGGTCCCTCGACTATTATGTCGACTATTATGTCAATGACACTTTTGATACTCGACTTCTAATTGTTCCATTTTTAGTCCTTGACTATTGTGTGGTAGAAACACTTTTAGTCCCCGACTTACAGGTTTCCCTGAGTATTGTCAAATTGACACTTTTAGCCCTCCCATTATGATTTTGGCATAATAAGTGGAGAACTAAAAATGTCACTATTATAGTAGTTGAAGGACCAAAATTGACACTTTTATGAAAGTTGAAGGACTAAATATTGAAATTTTCAAAGACGGGTATCAAAAGTGTCTCTAGCGCAATATTCAAGGACTAAAAATGGAAAAGTCAAAGTCGAGTACCAAAAATGTCAATGACATAATAGTCGGAGGACTAAAAGTGGAAAAAACTCATTATATATATTGGGAAGAATGTTTTGACTTTTGATACCTAATCTTTAGTTAGAGTTTAAAATCTTTAAATAAAATAAAAAAAGTTGTAATCTGAGATGAATACTATAACACTACATTCTGTTGAGTTAGGATGCTTAGTCTATATATGTGAAGCATAAAAATACAGGGTGTATGTTGAGCTTGGGAAGAAGTTGAAGTTTGTGGGCGACCTACTTTCTGTATTTTGGGTGATGTGTTTTGACTTCAAATCTAAATGATACAGAGCATTATTTATTGTGTCTTAAAACCCCTATCAGAATGTAGGTCCCGAACCTACTTTATTTGGCCTGATATATTCTTTTCCCAAATAACTTCTATCATCTATAGACTAATTTGGGAGTAATGTTTCAATTTGCAGCAATCCAAACCCAAAATTCAGTACCTCTACTTCCAAAGTTGAAAGTAGTACATTTTTGAAAGACTTTTTAAATGATCAAACATACATATGAGACACTATAGATAAATTTATAATACACACACTTCACATTGAAAGATACATGATTTTCTCATTCTATATTCAATAGCTGAATCAAGCAATTGATATATGTTCTCAAATCAAGATATTTTAGCTTAGATAATAAAGTGCAGAAGCTCTAATAGGGCCAAGATAACTAAGCTTGACCAAGATCAACACTCTTAATCTTTAACTTTCAATCTAAGCTTTTTAGTTTTATATTTGCTGATTCTTAGGGCAAGACAACACTCTTAATGTTTGCCTCTCTTTGTCGGTTGAAATCATTGGTCGAATTTTTTGTTTGCTGCATCACTCAATTCCTTATGAATTGAATGTCTAATCTCAGGGTAATATGTGTTTTTCACATTCTTCATTTCAGAGCTCTGGAAAACTATTGAGCAGTGGAATGTGTTATAAGCAATGTAATGGTTTGTAGAAATAAAATTTGCAAAATTAGGGGTTATGAAGAGTACTTTGGACTGTTGGAGGTTGTCATCTCAGTTTCACTTTTATTGAAGTTAGTTATCATTTTGTACTAGGAAACCTGTCAAATTAGTCCAAGTACTGTTTTTAACAGAGAACCCTTTGGTTCTATAATTTGATCAATTGTGAATTATTTATACTCCCTCCATCCCATTTTGGTTGTCTTACTTTCTTTTTTGGGTTGTCCCAAAATGAATGTCTTGTTTTCTTTTTTGGCAAGAAATATGTGGTTCTTTTCATTTCACTTTATTCTACCCAAATCTCAACCGCAACTTTTACTTTTCAACCACTTTATTAATAATCGTGCCAAATTAAAAGTGGACAACCAATATGGGACGGAGGTAGTAGTTAACTAATATCTTTGTCAATTGTGAATCCAATCATTCCCTTTTCATTATTCTTCATTCAATCGCTGCTTAGGGTTGTTAGCCTTCTAAGTGGAAGGCTGCAGCTACAAAAAACGTGATTGTGAAGAAGGTGAAGGCATTACTTTTTGACTTCACTCTTTAATGTTATGTACTTGGTGGATTTCATGCCCAATTCTTTTTTTTTTTGTTTTCGAATGTTTTTTTGTGTGTGTTTTCATTCAGTTGTAATGACCCTTTATCAATTTCCCAGGTATTGAAAGGTCATTTGCATCCGCTGATTTGAAGATGAAGGCTTTGTCCAGATTTTTCCAAGTACTGGAGGTCATTTGCATCAACACACACATTTAATGAAAGCGGAAGCAGAGCACCTTATATGACATAACCAATTTTGTCATATAAATTGGTTTTTTAAATGCTTTCACTTTTAGAATTTTATGTTTTATCAATTTCTCAATTATTGGAGGTCATTTGCATCCGCTGGTTTGCATTACTTTTATAGAAGGCAACTATAAGGTCATATTAAACTTATCTTTCCTTCTAATTAACTATCACCTTTTGTACTCTTAAACTTATCTTTCCTTCTAATGTTTTTTCTCTTTCGTTTTACTTGATATAGTCATATAGATATATGGCTTTCTTCCTCATGTGGCTTATTTCTATCAGTTATTTAGTTATAGGTATTTTTTTCCATTTAAAGTTCATCATGCCACCAGCCACCTTAGGTTTAGCTACATAGCTTTGCTGGTTTGACATTGATAGTTGTAGAGAATTGGAATTCATAAGATTGTTATTCTCGATTTCTTTCTAATCTTTGAGCATCCCTGGTACTAATATACGGAGTACTTCTTTTGGTTTTTACTTTAAGAGCCACCTGTTCAAATACTCCTGAGTGAGGATGATGACATCACTTAGGCTCTGTTTGGTTGGAAAGTTTTGGAGGGGAGAGGAGGGAAATGAGAGATTTGTGTGTGTTTGGTTGAAGGAAATGAGGGAGAAGGGGAGGAAAGTCGAAGACTTCCAAAATCGGGGTATTTTGGAGGAAACGTGTTGATAATCACAATCTATTCATCTCCTACGTGAATGGACAAAACATTATAATATAGAAAATGTAAAAAATAAAAAAAAATTAAAAATAAAAGTAAAAAATTTAAATAATTAAAAAATTTAAAAACTAAAAAATTTAAAAAGTAACAAACTAAAACATTAAAAAATTCAAAAATGGAAAATTCTAAAATAAAACTTAAAAATTTTAAAAAAAAATTAAAAAATCAATTTTTTTTTTATGACTTATGACCTTAGGAGTAATATTCACAATAGTTAGAGATATATCTATTTCATTAAGTAAACTATCAAATAAAGGTAAATCGGGAAAATACTTTTATTAAACCTTCCCTCCTATTTTCCTCCAACCAAACACAATTTTTATCAATTTTTTATAAACATGGTGCATGGTCCTGACTTTTTGAGTTGTATTATCAGATAACCATTATTTTTGGACAAATATAGAAGGAATATTTGTGTTGTCAAGGAATATTTAATAGCGACACTTGTCCCTTAAAATGTTTTAACGTGCTTTTGGTAAATACTTAACACAACTGAACCATGTTAAATCTAATCAATGACTTGCAAAAAAAATCCAATCAATGATTTAATGTTAGAATATAAATTAAACTAATTCAGATAGTAATGTACGGAGTAATAATTTAAGTATAACCTAATTAGTATTTTATTACCAGAGTTCCACTCTCCAAAACTCCATAGGGAATCAGATATTTTTGGAGTTCTTAACCATGAGTTCAAATTAAAAGGGAGTGTGTCTGTGATTTTTATGAGGAATATAGATCAATCACTCGACTTGTGTAGTAGCGTTTGACTTTTAATGAGGCGATTTGAAATACAATTATCGAGTCCATTGCAGGTTAAAAACATTTCATTTCTATACTTTCCTTGACTCCTGACATGAGATTGACATTCACCTTCCGGTGAAGGTAATTCCCTCTGATGATTAGATATAGAATGCCGATCAACAAGTGTCAGGGGCATTTCTTGAGTAGAGAACTTTTTGATTTAAATTCAAATGCAAATGTTATGCATTCATTTAGGAAAATAGTTCAATTACTATCAAAATAAAATATAATAACTTCTCGCCCCGTGCAACGCACGGGTGAATATACTAGTCTCACGGTATACCAATTGCAAAAAAACAGGATCATCACGCACTTGCTAAAAATAGATCAAAATTGGCCAGATAAACCGGATAGTACTTGATGCCATTGCCGACTGAGAACCAAAGCAGCCCAGAGCTAGTCTGGACTCACTCCTACATTAAGATCATGAGACTATGAGAGCATTTACATTTACTCATTCCTAAGTACTCACCCAACTTTTATAGTTTTATATTTAGAAATTTAAAGAGGTTTTCTAAATTTATAAGACTGAAGTACAGAACACATGAATAATAAAATACGAGTAACTTTTTCACACTAGGAAACCAAAAGACCACTCGTTTAGTCGTTTATCAGTTATAACAAATTAAGGTAACAAAGAGACCAATGGATTATAAGTAAAAAGAAATTACTCCGTATGTTTTTACATTTAAAGACTTTTCCCAAGTTAAAAGTCACTACGCAAAACAAATCGGCAATACCAAGCATGAAGATGGTTATACTAAAAGGACACCATTTCCATGAGTTTCATCACCACTATCACCGTAGCCAACACGCACGTGGTTGTTCCTAGCGGTGGACCATTTTTTCAAGGCCCAACCGCACCCATATTAATCTCGTTCTGGGGCCATTTTTCCCATCTCGCAAAATGACAAAACTTTGCCATTTATTTATTTATGGAATTTAGTGGTTTAACTAATAAATATTTGACTCAAAAGATTTCTCTTTTCTCTGAAGAAATCTAAAGATACAGTTTTTAATTTTTTATTCCATCAAAATTCGCAAATTAAGTCATTCAACAAAATTCACATTTACCAAAACTACACAAACATAAGAACGATTAATGACTTGTGTAAACTTACAACTGTATCATCCGAAATTTAAAAAGGTGTAACTTTATTAATCAGCAACAAGGTTTTCTTTTTCTTTTCTTTCTGAAGTATAATAATATTAGGAACTTTAGTTCCAATATCCCACAAAGGCATTGTCTGCAAATCTGCAATTAAATGTAATTTATGGACTATGAAAAGAATTCATATGCAACACTTTCCGCTCCAACATGGCAAGCTAGCAACCCATCAATACTTAACTTTAACCTTATTTAGCTGGAAGCGAATGACCCCTAGAAATATAATGAAATGAAAAAACTCTAAAATAATCTATTTGTGGAAAAATGTGTAAACAGATTTAGTGAAAAACCGCAGTATCTCATAAATACTGCTGTTGGATCCTCGCTCTGTTCTCTTCCCACCACAATCTTGCTTGCACTTCTCCAAATATTTCTCGGCTGCACCAAAAAACACATCGATCAGTTTAAACTTTGAACACATTGTCACTTTTTCTGCATGAAAATTATAATGTTGATTAGTTTACTCATACACTAAGTTACAAGAATCCAACCCAACAATGACATTAAAGTAGCAATGATGAAAAGGTACACAAGATGCAGAGGTAATTGCATAATTTCAAGGCAAACCAAAATAGTGTTTCATGAAAGAGGTTAAGGACATCACATGAAACATAGGCTATGGTTGGAACTTGGAGCCTGGAAAATGGTAGGAAAATGAAAAAATGCAATTTTTAGAGCTTACTCGATATCATCGGTGCCAATTTTGACGTTAAATATACACAATTAATGAACCATGTAGTCATACTCCCTTTAGGGTTGTTTTATATAATTGGAAATTTGGAATGTACAAGATAAACTGAGTTCAAACAAAGATATAAAATTAATTCATTGAGTTTGAGCCCCCAATTTTTAATAATTTCTCATGAACTTTAGCTCTACGAAATCCCCTATATTTCTTCTTTTTAAAGAATTTTCTTTCTCTAACATTTTTCAGATTCCAAACAGACCCTCTTATGGTATGTCTGGACATAGAAAAATGCTAGGTTTGAAAAGAAACTAAGAGAAGTTATTCTCTTGTGTTTGGTTTCACCTCGAAAAACACAATAAAGAATGTATTCCATCTCTAAGGCAATGTTTTTTACATCAAATTCCCCTGTATTTCATCTCTAATTTCTTCCCTAAGAATTTCCCAAGTTCAATGAAATTGACCAGTAGCCTACATGGGAATGAAATCAACGACTCACCTGAACCTAACACGTCTAAGCTCCCGAGAGCCACCTGGCAAAGCTCTGATAGTGATGTAGACTCCAGGCACGTCTTCCTCAACCCATTCACTTTCCATGTCATCACTACCACCACCATTGCTCAGTGACTGACAACTGCTCCTTTCAGAAGCATCTATTGAGGAAGTTTCAGTTTTGATGCTAGAGAGCATTGGAGTAGGATGGTAATGAGATTGCACTGAGTCATGCCCCAATGACTCTGATGAGCAGAGACTCATTCCTGTTGGACGTCGGAGGTGGAGGCGTGGATGTACCTTGCTCAAGGGAGGGGCCATTGGGCTCCCCTCCTCATATTCCACTTTTGAGTTCTGAAGGAAACAAATCGTTGTAAAATATAAAAATTGCCACTAAAACAATGTTGTGAAAAGGCGCAACTGCATTATAACTGGAATATTAGTGTAACTCACCTCAACAGCAGACATTGGTGCAGCCTGGCGATTGAGCATCTGGACATTGTACAATTCCATGACCTTGTCATAATTTTCTGCCCACCATCTTTGTGCTAACCCTTTGTTGAACATCTCTCGGCTAACAGAAAGACGGTATTATGATCAGGCAACCCAGAAAAGTTCAATGGAATCACAAATCTTAGAAGCATCTCAAGCATCAAATGACTAAAGACTAACATAATAATAATCACCTTTTCACTTAAACATGAAACATCAGGAGGAAATGAAAGTTACAGCCGCTTAACATTCTTTTAGCATCTCAAATATAAATAGTTTGGGCAGGTGCGCTATGTTTCACCAATAGTGTTCTATGTTCTCGTTTAATTTTTCTGTGCAAAAGCTACTCTCTTCATCCCAAATTAAATCTTGTTTTGTTTTGGCACGCTTACTAATAAAGTGGTTACAAGTAAAACATGTGATAGAGATTTGACTAGAAAAAGGCAACATTACATTTACTTTGGAACAATCTAAAAAAGAAAATAGGACAACATTGTCTAGTCAGCCCTTGTAGTTAAATGAGACAGGAGGGGTAGTTTTTGATGAGTAGAACTTAACTTAATCTGTAGACACTACTCACACTAGACACTTTTAGATATACGTTAAAATGAGTTTATTTCAAACAATGCCTCTATATAACATTTCAGAAAAACCCTGATTTTCTTATTTATTTCCAGTACTTATTGTATTCTTACAGAGACTAAAACTTTAGGACCTGTTTACTAACAGAGATATTTTCCATTTTTCCAGAAAACTGGAAAATTGGAAAGCAGAAAACGTGTTTCCCACAGAAAATTGCTGGAAAACTGGAGAAAGGAAAACAGAAAAACACGTTTACCAAATCGTTTTCCAAAACGAAAAAATGAGACATGTCTCTCTTTTCCTTAATGATTTGGAGAAGTGACTTTTACTAGTTTTCCACATTTGGAAAATGATTTGCTACAGTGCCGCTGGAATGAATTTGCATACTTACACTTAGTGGTGGGTCCGATCCCGCTCCGATGTTGATTCCATTCCGGTACCTCCATCCTTCTACCTTACCCCTTACCCCTACCCACCCAACCCCACCCCTACCACATGCCCCTACCTCGGCCCCACCCCGATCCACCCTACCCTAACCGCCACCCCCCTACCACCTCGACCCCACCCCGACCCACCCTACCCTACCCACCCCTCGTATATTACCCCTTACCCCTACCTTACCACTTACCACATTCAACTACCTCGGCCCCACCCTACCGCCATCCTACCCCCACCCTCGTACCGCCATCCTACCCCCCACCCTACCGCCATCCTAGCCCCCACCCTACCCTTCCCCTACCTCGGCCCCACCCTGATCTCGGCCCCACCCTACTGCCATCTACCCCAACCCTACCCTTACCCCTAACCATGACCCTAACCCACACACTACACCCACCCAACCCCCTACCCCTATACCTTACCACTCCAACCCCAACCATACCCCTGACCCCACCCCCACCCCCACTCATACCTTCCCTACCCTGACCCCTACGAGTAGGTATGGGTGTGTATGAACGGTTGTAGGGGAGTATGGGTAGAGTGTACGATCGTGGTAAGGATAGTGGTAGGGGTCAAGGGTGTGGAATTGGGTGTAGGGTGGGGGTACGAGGTATAGGGGCGGGGTAGGGGTTAGGGATATGGGTATACATACGAGATGATCGACCCCACATATTACATTATATATTTGTGTTCATGAATGTTTGTGTGTCTGTATATGTATATGGTTATTTTGGACATTTTAATGTTAATCGGAGTTTTAAACCTTTTGAGGTAAACATGATCTTACAACATTGCTTATTTTATGCGCCACTTATTAACGCGGATCTTAATAAACACCATTTAGTAACCCGTGAAGTAAACGTGTCCTCAGTCTTCTGGATGATCACAGAACTGAATGAAAAATTGATGAACATGTTTTCAGATTTGAAAATGGAAAACTAAAAAATAGAAATAGAAAATTGGAGATAGAAAAATTGAAAAATAAAAACAGAAAATTGGAGAACGAAAAACAGAAGTAGAAAACAAGAAAATATCTCTGTTAGTAAACAGGCCCTTAGCTTTTAGACCTTCGATTCCATTTTTGCCTTCTTATGCAGATTATATAATAATGTTTTGGTTTTAAATTTTCTGAATGTTCCAAACATGCAAGTACTCAGCTGCCCGATTTTATTTGCCTACTTCACTTATCAGGTGCAACTCAATGTAACTTCTAATTTCTCAATTTTGAAGAACACTAACATTTTACTTTTCTTAAGTTACCCTTTCACACTCATGACTTTTAAAATGATTTGGCACTTCTGACCCAACTGTTTAGTAAAAATGTAAAATGACTAAATTTTACTCTTTTTCAATAAAAAACACCCTAAGTGTAAAATCATCTCATAATTCACTTAGTACAGTAGAGATTATGTTATTTTAAAAGCAGAGTATACATGCACCATAATAATGCTACATTAGTGTGATTTTGGTTTAGAAAGCAACAAAATGGTGGAAATAGTGCACCAAAGAGTTTGAGCCCCACCAAAACATATAATTTCGGGGATAGTGCAGCACAGAGTGGACTCACATGCAAATTTAAACATTTCAGTCAACGAAAAATATAAATAGACAAGAAAATCCTCCTACAATCTGAGGGGTTGGGCCTCCCCTTGACGGCTATGTTTTCCCCTGTTTGGATCCGTCCCATGGTTTTACTACGTTTTGTCCGTTTAGAGTCTTCGACATCGAGGCCCACACTTTAGTACTATCGTTATGCAGTCTTGAATTGTGAATAAATATCGCTGTTTGGATGCTGTGAATAATTGAATAAAACAAAGCCTATACACGGTGTATAAAGTATTAAAGTGTACTCCGTATAATACAATTATACAGCTAATGTTTTTTAATGTTAAATAAATAGCCCCAAACTTTATTAACTGATTGAAAATATCATTTTCCAATTTGCTACTACCTCCGTCCCGGTGGACTTTACCAAGTGCAAAGTAAGTGAAAAATAAGAATAGTAAAAACTGTGTGGTTGAGATTTGTACAGAAGAGAGAGAAATGTGCAGAACCACAAATTAATTGCTTTAATAGGAAAGTGACAAAGTTTTTTGAGACAATCAAAAGGGAAAGTTGGCAAATTCCAATGGGACGGAGGGAGTATGAGCCTATGAAAAATGAATACAATTAGGAGCTGAACAATAATAAATGCCCGTCCACCATCGAAAAACAGCTAGCCAAAATATGAGCTACACTATTCACGGACCTTAAGAGGTCGTTTGACAATACTGTTTTCGCCTTATCAGGCTTATCAGCCAACGTTGTCACCAAACACACAATTTTTGTTTTCGCGCGGTTGAGATGTGTTATAAGAAGAAAAAGTAAAGGTTGAGGTTACTTTTCTGAGTGTATCGACTGAAGTTACTGTAGATGACCATTTTAGCTATTTTTGCATATATTTTTTTCTTTATTTTATTAATAAAATATATTTTAAAAATAATTTTTCTTGCATGAGCAGAATCAGCCAATGCAGCCACTTCAACCAGAACTTTATAAATTTAAGCAGAATCAGCCAAATTAGCTCATTTTCGTGCTACCAAACGGGCTCTAAATATACCCCTAGAAATTATAAATGACTGGCAAGTGGCAATGCACGCATGTTTGATACTGAGAGCTGTAAAACAGTTTTCGTTTATTTAAATACTAAAGTAAATGCTCCCCAGAAAGTAAATCATTTATTAATCACTAAAAATGGTATTCTTTAATCGAATCAAACAAATTTTAATAATATGCTAAAAAAGATTCATATCATGTGACAAATTTGTTTAAAACTATATAAACACTAACCATTCATGGATTATGACGTGTACCTTACAAAAATTTAAAAGTAAAAAAATTCTACACAACTAATTTAGTAAAAAATTGAACAGTTGTGATCTGAGGCGAAGGTTTCATAGCAATCGTGTTTTAAGTTGTTTTGTTTATAGATGTGGCTACAAATCTACTCCTCGTTTTCTTTTACGAAATCAAGATTTTGTTGAAAAACGTGATCGGCGTAATTAAAAGTAAAAGTGACGTGTTGACAAATGACAACAGTACCAAACTACCAATTAGCATACCAACTTAAAAATGAAAGGTTAAACAACTTTTTAGGATTAAATGAAGGAAAATTGTGTCTGTACACATGTTTTCTACACCCCATTTTACACGGCGATCGAATTGTCTATGCATGACAATTTGTCCAACGTGTAAAATTAGATGACAAAAAATGTATACACAAAGTATTATTGTTAAATAGATAAACAATATGGAGTAGAACCAGGATGTCACATATGAACTGCCCAAAAAACTTCGGAGTACATATCAACGTCTGAACAACTTTTTATCATTTTGATAATTTTTATCATTTTGATAATTATACGCAACACCTTTGGTAACCTCATTTTGGGCACATTTTTATACCAAATACATAATTACATAACTATATATATTTTGCATATTGAATTGTAAAATATTAAATATTAGTAAAGTTAACTATATTAGCTGAATATAGTGAAACACTGTTTTTAGTGCTTTTACATAATTTTTATTTTATCATTTTATTAACGAAATAACTACATATTTATGATTAAAAATATTTATGATTAAAATAAAAGTTCTTTATAGAAATGTAACATTTTAAGCGTAGTGAGTATAATAGTAACTACCGTCGTAATAATTTATGTTTAACTTTTACACTAAAGTTACCATGAAACAATATTTTAGTAACTATTAAGCATATTTTAGTAAATAAGTTTATTCGAGTAATAATTTTGAAAAACCTCTTTTTTATTATTTATTTTTTCTTTTAAAAAAATTATAGGGAAAATGGAAACTAATAATCTAACCTTTTAGCGGTCTTCTTTCAATAATCCCACCTTTTGATTATTCATGAATAATCCAACCTTTGCACCTCATCTTCATTCACTGGTCCCTGACCGGTTAATGACCTGCTATTTTAAGCTATTTTCTTATCTTTGCAAATCATTATACCATAAATCTCATCTTTCACAAAGATAATATTTTGGAAAGATAAGAAAATAACTTAGAATAGTAGGTCATTAACCGACCAGAGACCAATGAATGAAGATGAGGTGCAAAAGTTGGATTATTCATGAATAATCAAATGGTGTGATTATTGAAAGAAGACCGCTAAAAGGTTGGGTTATTAGTTTCCATTTTTCCTAAATTATATACTCCGTATATTTTCATAATTCAACTGATTCAACCTTTCAACTGCTTCAATCATTTTGACTTGGGACGTATCATTCGTCTTTAATTATAAATGATAAATGTGCACCAAGGGAAGATTCCCTTTTATAAATGTTTATGAACTTGCTCTATATTTGGATGTATATAAATATAAATAAATCGTTTAAAAAAATGAAGAAATTTTGAAAATTGTTCGTACGCAACAACGTCTAGCAAGAATTACAAATACGGAGTATGAAATATCCGTCCTCAATCATTAAGTTCTCAGCTCTAAAAGTTGCAATCATTCATTCATTCTCAAACAAATAGGAACTTTTAGAAAACCGAATAGGAATGGATCAGAAATGATGATGCGGGGGAGAAGAAGCCATGTCAAAAATGTACCTGAATTGGATTCTTTTCAGCCCATTCCCACCATTATTAGGCAACGGAACGAAGGTTATCAGCACTCCAGGCTCAACCTGAGCAACCCATTCCTTCCCCTCCCCTTCCTCCGTCAACTCGGTCCGCCCGCTCGCCGATGCCGGCGTCCCTTCGCCGCCGCTCATATACCCACCGGCCTCCGATCCCTTTCCCCATATCCTCGGCGTCGAATTTGAACACCTGGTCCTTCTATACGCACAGTGAACCCTCTCAGGCTCTGACCCCGCATCGGAGTCGGCGTAGTTCCGGCGGCTCTGGTCAATGTTTGACCCCTTCGAACAAGGGTTACTACACTGCTTATACGCGCCGGAAGCTTTCACAGCAATGTCCTTAATCTAGCAATCACAAATTGCATATTATCCCCAAAAAATCGACGAATAATTTGTTGTTTAAGCCGGAAGCTATAATCTCAATCTCCATTCAAACAAAACGCCAGTAATTAATGGAAAATGCGAAGTACCTGAGCAGTGAGTGTTTTGATGGCTTGCCTGGTGCTGGGAGTAGTGACGGTGTCGTCTTCATCGGGTTCGCGAAGAGATCCAGTATTAAGCTGCTTCGAGCAAGCGATACAGGTCAACATTCGCGGTTTGCTGAACCTAATCCTAAAAAAGATCCGCCGGAGAATGAAAACTCACAATACCATCACCGTAGCTACCGTCTCGGCGGTGGCATTACATTGAAGGGGAGCTTCAGGATTCAGCCCCGAAACGACTAGAAGAGAGTAGATATCCGTAGAGAAGGATGAATGGAGTTGAAGGGCAAGGAATCGGGCGTTAATGGCGGACGGCTCTACAGTGGATACGCAGATTCGAAGAAGAAATGGAATGGATACATAAAATCCTATTACTGTTATTTAATATAGGAAAAACATTAATAGAGGAGATTGTGTCATTTAAGACATGTTTAAATTTAAATTGTTTATGTTGTATTGCAAGTTTGCAACCTTTAAATTATTTTCTATTTTTGATACACTCAATCATAAGTAGATCAATACTTCTTTTTTAAAGTAAAATTTTATTCTAAGGATCTTATCCTTACCAAACCATGCTTAAGGATAGTTTGGGAAAATATTCAAACCTTGCATTTTATTTGCTCTCATTTGTAACATCTAACTGTTCTTAATACACTTTAAATAGGTCAAGTTGTTGGAGCAATCTTTCATGTTCCAACATCAAATGTATACCTCCTTGATTGAAGAGTTTCCCTAAGCAACTTTTCGATATAAGTTCAGAAAAATCATCAATAATTGAAACAAACTCAACTTCTTTATTTTCTAAATCTAACTTCATCAAATTCAATTAGAAAAATAACTTCATCGATACTTAGTTTGATTAGTACATAACTCAACATTAAAATCAAAATTATTAAAATTAAATTTACATGTTTGATAAAAAATTGATTGATAAAACAAATAAACCGTAAGGTAGGATCACCAAACGGATTTTACTAAGGCCAACTGACAGTGTAATACGATTTTAAATTTGTACAAAGTAATAATAGTGCTGAATTCACAAGTTTTATACCGAGTACTACTTTTGGAGAAGCTTTTCACTTTTTAGAATGATAGATACTTAGATAGTACTACCTCCGTCCCAGGGAGAAGTTCCCAATTTCCTTTTTGGCAGTCCCAACAAGAAGTTCCCATTCCCCTAAATGGAAAGTTATTCTACATCAAAACAGTGCCAAACAGTGCAAAACAGTGTCGAAACAGTGCCAAACAGTGTCGAAACAGTGCCAAACAGTAAAATTTACCCCCCAGTAACTTTATTTCCTTAATATGTGTGAAAGTCAACCCGGGAACTTCTCCCTGAGACGGAAGGAGTATTATTTTTAAAACTTCATGCATTGATATATACTTATATACGGAGTATCTTTTTAAAATAGCTAGTGTTGAGGGAAATATTGTCTTGTCATACAATATTTACATCTTGGTAATTTTCCTTTATTAGTTTTTCACTTTTGTTTTTTCCTATACATTTCTTTTTTTTGTTGTTGTTGGGGGAGGGGTGGGTGGCACGACATATAATTAATGGGATTCAGTGTAAAAAAAAATCTTATCTCATGACATCATTGTACTGCCTTGAAAGCAATGTAAAAAAATCAAAATTAAAAGCCACCTCTAGACTAATTTCACATCTCTTTTCCTAAAACTTTATCAACTTTCCATTTTTTCCATTTTAACTGTCTTACTAAATTTGTCACTTTTGCATTTAAGTAAACAATTTAAGATTCTGAATAATTTTCTTTCCTCTACACAAATTTTAACCACACAACTTTTATTTTATTAGTTCCTGTATTGATCAAACTTAGTCAAATTTTAAAGCACAAATAATAGAGTATCATTAAAAATTGGAAGTAACATCATTCCAACGTAAAATCATAGTGGCACAACGCTCAACATTTATTCTCATTTTTGATAAAACATGTCACGTCATGTCACTTTGAAAAACTAAAACTAAACGCGGGATAAATGTCACTTAGAATTTTAAAATATCACAATAAACTTTGAAAAACTAAAACTAAACGCAGGATAAATGTCACTTAAAATTTTAAAATATCACAATAAATTCAAGTGAAAACTATCAAATAAGTCCTCGAACTTTCATAAAAAGGTCAAAGAAGTCCTTATATAGGAGGCTCTGTCCGACCGTCGCGATTTGGGGCGGTTGCCGGTGGAATTGTTTGATGAATTTTTTTGAGCATCTTATTCATCAAGTCTAGTTTACTGATAGGGATACACCTATTAGGATAAATAGAAGAGTTAGTGTAGTTATATTTCTGTTTGAGCTAATAAATACATCTGTTAGTTCGGATACTATAAATAGATGTAAAGTGGGAATAGTTGGGAGACTTTTGGACTGTTTGTCTTGGGACTTGGGAAGACTGAGACTAATAATCTCTTTCTTTGGGGAGCTTCGGCTTTTGGGGGCTTCGGCCATAGCTTCGTGTTACTGTTCTTCATCAATAAAGCTTTTCTATATTGTTTCTTGATATTCTTTTCTGTAATTGTCTTGAATTCCTTGAGGATTCTATCATTTACTAATACCAAATTTCAGTTAAAACTTCAATCGGGAACGCATTAAAATTAATTCTTTAATTTGAATGCGTTCCCAATTGAAGTTTTAAGTGGAATTTGGTATGAGTACATTAGACTTGATGAATAAGATTGCGAAAAAAATTTATCAAAACATTCCACCAGGAACCGGCCAAATCGCGACAATCAGATAGAGCCTCCTATATAAGGACTTATTTGACCTTTTTATGAAAGTTCGAGGACATGTTTGACAGTTTTCCCTTTCATCATGTATTTCAACCAAAACTTTCTAGAAGGCGGCGGTCAATTATATAGAATTTTGCCCTCTTTATCCTTATTGAGGTGGAATTTCCCAATTTTAAATTAGGAGAAAATTAAAAATAATAAAAGTTACAGAGTATGTCATTGAAGTTTATTCAAATCAGAGAAATGAACAAAATCATAAAGGTGAGAAAGTTTTTATAGTGATTAGTGAATACGGAGTAGTTGACAAAGTTGACCATTCATGTTTTGAAATATGTTAGACACATCCATCTGATCCATGTTAGAATTCCTAATATTATTTTTTAGAAATATTGAACCTTTTCGACTTTTCGTAATAAATATAGCTTATCTAAATAACATGTTTTTAACGAAAAAAAAATACTCCGTAAATGATAAGATACTAAAGATAAGGTTGTTTAGATGATTCTTAAAACTGCTTCTGATGCTTCAGGAAGCAGAAACAGAAGTTGAAGTGTTTGGATCAAAGTGTTTCAGGTGCTCTAATTTAGTGGTGGACTGAACCGGGCCGGTTCGGGCCTCGGGCCTAGGCCCGGCCGGGCCTCGGTTCAGTAATAGCAGGCCCGAGCCCGAACCGGGGTAGGGCGGTCCCGGGCCGGACCGGGCCGGTTCGGGCCACCCGGTTTAATTTTTTTTTCCCTTTCTTCCCCCCTCACCCCCCCCCCCCAAACCCCCCCAAACCGGCCTAAACAAATAGCCCAAGCCCAACAGCCCAAAAAAATGAAAAAAAATTAAAAAAAAATAGATTTGGCCCGGACCCGGGCCCGAACCGGCCGGGCCGGGCCGTCAAACCCATGAACCGAGCCCGGAACCGCCCCACCCCCGGGCCTCCGGCCCGAACCGGACCCGGACCCGGAAAACCGGGCCGGGCCAGGCCCGCACAGTAGCGGGTCGGGCCGGTCCCGGGCCGGGCGGCCCGAACCGAGGCCATGCCTACTCTAATTTACTCCTAGAATCAATTTTTTTTAAAAGATGAGGATGACCAGCTTCTGAAAACTGTTTTTGATTCTGCTTTTACTTTAAAAAGTAGAATCATAATCAGTTCCAAACACCCCTAGAATAAAACAAAAGGTTTGTGTTTTTAAACACACGCTTTAAATTTGTATTTTTATTGTAAATGTACGTATTAATAAAAATGTTTATATAAATAATATAATTCAAGATTGGATAATTGTCAATAGAGTTAAACTGGAAAACAAGTTGGGTCACAATCCAATTAGGCTTCTCAACTATCTATTAATTATCAATAATATATCATGTTAAGTAATTCCTATTTTAGGAAGTCAAAACAACAATAAATGCCCATTTATTATTCATTTCCCGCCCTACTACCTCTAAAGGTTTTATGCATCCAGAACGCAATCCCTCTATAACAGGACAATGATATACTTTCAATATAGCTAGAAAAACATTTAGTACTGTTTTTACCTTAAGAAAATTTTATTAAGAAATGAGGGCCATCCTATGATTCCTATCTGTGACTCCATGAGGGTAAAAACAACCCGCCAAAATGCCGAGAGGAAAAAATGACCTATAATTATAACGTGTTTGACAAAAGACAGGGTGAGTACCTGATGCTTACGAGTTTGCCATTAGTGGCCGGAAATTGATCCGACACTCTATTAACTAGTTGAGCTACAAGACTCCAGAAAAGTTTCTTGAATTATTGGCATGTGTTCAGTTAACAAAAACAGCTTTCACAAACAAAATCTTGTCACAAGCCTACTAGTCACATGCATGAGTGCATGACAAAGAAAACAACGTATTGTATATATACAAGTGAGTGACATGAGTCCTAGTGAGATTCTTGTGCAAAACAATGTAGTACGCCCTTATGAAAGAGTTAAAAGTTTCGTGAACAGAGGAGATGCATACATTCCCGAATACACTAAGAGTCTAAGACACACCTACCCTGCCCTCAAGGGTAGCTTAGTCAGGTCCTGGGTGGGGAATGCATCCATAAGAAACCTCTATTTAACCTTAAAACTCGATCTTCTGTACACAAGCTTCTGTGTGTATTTTTGATAAGTCAAGCAACTATTTAAAGGTTTCCAAATTATTTCAAAACTTGAACCCGGAATGAATAGAAACAACTCCTCCCACAAGATTCTCATACCCTACATTTTGAAATCCTGCTTCAGCAATCATCCCAGCAAACTTTTCCTGTGAATGGAAAAGCGAGAAATATTTAGCCTACTCAAAATATTGTTTAGATTTTAAACAATACTTTATTAGCTAGAGCCTTTTTAGTAAGTAGAGTAAATTTTGCCGAGTTTGCAGAATTTGTAGCTGATATTACACAAAATTTACTTGTTTTTAAAATAATGACATCTAGTTTATGGTTTTTAACTCTAGTATCATGTGTGTGTGTGTGTGCGCATTGATTTTAGCCGACCCCAAACTCTTTTGCGAATAAGGCTTAGAATGTTATGGTTGTAGGGGTAACCCATAGAATGTCATTTCTTTTCATTATGCCCTTTTCAACAAAAAAAGAGTAGTTTACACTTACTTTATTATCATCTACTTGGCAAGTGTGGTCAACATTGGCTCATGTATGCCAGAAAATTAATTCATTTGATACACACACACACACACACACACACAAATGCTCAGGTCCAGCAGTTCGGACAGGAGCCGCCGTCCGAATGCCGCCATTTGAGACGGTTCCCGGTAGAATATTTTGATGAATTTTTTTGAGCATGTTCCTCATTTCAGCTCAAAATTCGATCGGGAAGGCAGTTAAATAATTTTTTGAAGTTCACTGCGTTTTCTATGAAAAATTTGGCACACCCAATGCTAAAAAAATTTCATCTAAAAATTCCACGGAGAACTGCTCCAAACGGCGGCATTCGGACGGCGGATCCTGTCTAGCATGGACAAGATCATTCCTCTCATTCTAATAATCTAGTACTCACAACTTTCATGAAATCCTAAACAATATGATGCTCAATAGCATCATAATTCATAATCAGATAGTGATTCTGAAAGGGAAAAAGTTCCTCCAGTGGCAATGGCTGATGACCTCATGACAAAAACACCCAATTGCCACCAAGTCACTCATAATCCCATACTCTACACAATTGAAAGTCCACGGATTACCTGTGTTGGAAAACGGCGGATACTCTCAACCAAGTACTGATAAGATTCACGATCACCAGTCACAATCTCACCAACTGTTGGGATGATTGAGAATGAATAGAAATCATACCTGCAGGAGATTTATAAAGAATCAAGAACCACAGACAGTGCATATATGAAGTACTCCATAGAAGAGTAAAAATTAAGAAAATGCTGGTTAACTAAATATTTAGCTTACTTTCTCAGAGAAACAAATACGGATAAAAACTTTGAAAACATCGAACTTGTTCCCAACACAATGATATCAAATGTCTAGTTATGAGCACCGTTAATCCAACCTTCCCCGTTTGTTTATGATAATAACATGAAGAAATATCAAAATCTAAGATAAGTTAAAAGTGCGACTTCAAGAATGAGGAAGTCCTGGTGTCCTACATGTAAAGAAAATTTCCAATGCTAAGATCATCTCTATCCACATGCCACACCCAATGAAAACACTATACATTTTGAAATGCTTACAGGTCTTTAAGAATCGGGACATCAACATGGCTTAGTTCAAGGCAAAGGAATCTTCCTCCTGGCTTGAGTACCCTAACAAACATACCAGAGCCACTCAAAACCCATTAGATGCACCGGGTGAAAAACCTCTAACTGGAACGACAAAATGTATACACATATAGCACCACATTTTTTAGAATATAAACATATAAAACTCTTTTTAGAGAATTAGGTCGAATTTCAAAAACTCACTTTAAAAAACCTTCTTCTGTTTTATTATTGGACTGGAAGTGCTTTAAATGGGTGTTTTACAAGAATATTACTAAAATAAAACACATTTACATAAATATGACTATTCATTACTACAATGTGGTGTTGTGGTAACTTAAGCTCAAAACTTGAACATGATTTTTTGTCAATCATCTTTATTTTTGTCATATTTATGTAATTATTTCGCTTTAAATTACCTATAAGCTTAATAATAGTCACTGCACTTTGTGTGACGTTCTCATGTTCCTAACTCTAAAACCAATTGTGTATCAGGAAGAGCTTTAGTATTACCTATAAGCTTCAGAAAGAGCCTTTTCTATGTGAGTAACATTCCTAATCCCAAAGGCAATTGTGTATCCATCCATGGAATTGTTCCCGAAGTTCAAGGCTTCAGCATCTCCCTCGACCCAAATGAGTGATTTGTCATCCGCAATACCTAGATTTTCCAAAACAGTGTTATCTTCAAGAGACATGGTGGAAAATAAAAGCTTTCTTATTAATTAAAGGATAAAGACAATTTTCTTTAAATTTAAGCAAATAACATATGGGTATTTACCTCTTTCCTGAGCTCGCTTCTTACCAACTCGCAACATGTTAGGGTTGATGTCACATACATAAATTTGGGTTTCGTTAATCACATTATCATCAAAGATACCTTGGAGGGCTCTGCGTTTTATACCCTTGACATTTTCAAGAATCCTGAATGCAACATCTCCTGTAAAGCTATGGAAGTTATATCTGGATCTTTAGTTGCTAATTGATCATTGTAAGAAAAGACCATGGGTCAGAAATCATTCTTGGGTTTTCAAGTCAGAATTCTGAAATTAAAAACACACCCAATGGATAAGTAATGCATTGCACGATATGGAGCTGTGCTACCTAGATAATTACTAACTTCAGCCTACTTCCGATTGCTTTTTTAAAAACCAATCACAATCAAACTTGTCATTTTCACTTAAATCAGAGTTATGAACTCTTAAGCATCTTTATTGAATAATAATTTTTACAAACATACTGGAAGTAATATACTGGAAGCCACCTAGGCTGAGAACCTGAGCCTATTACTTAGATATTTATTTTTTATTCTTAACCTCCAAGGACAAGGGGAAATGAATATGAATAAACAATCCTGTAACCAGATAACCTTTTTCGTAACGATTCTCTATCTTCAACAAGACCGCACATCACTGAGATTGATGATTGAAAGTTAAATATCACATCCTTGGCCCTTGGGTAGATGGGCCACCTAAGATATTACCATTTCAATTAGAAGTGGGGAATTATTCCCAGATTCCGCATTCCAATCCGAACCTCGACATTCCCGATCTTGATTAGCCAGGATATTGAATGTTTTTAATTGGACTATTTTCGGTTTGGTCTTGTCTGAACTAGTCCGGTAAATGTCTGTTCTATGTGTATTTTACAACTGTCGAAGTCTAGTCTATTTAAGTTTGATCTGATATGTTTATGTTTGGTATGGTCTATTCTGGACAGAAACCAGTCCAAGTGCAATCATCCTTTGACCTCATCCCAACGGATGGGGGACAAAAAGTTCTTAGACAATGCTTCTCTGAGCTAAAAGTGTTGATTCTCAGAGGAAAAGAATCATCATGAGGCTTCCTACTATCAAAGTTTCAATTCCAAAGCATTGGACAATCAAACAAAAAACGCTCACCTGTCCCACCAGCAACATCGAGATGCTTCATTCCAGGAAAAGGGTTCAATTTTGATACAAATCTGATAGAAATGAACTAAAAAAATCAATCTCAGACAGCTTAAACTGCAGAGTAAACTGCAGAATCAGGTTTTAAGAATGAGAGATCAGTGACCTAACTGGTCCTTCCATAGCCTGTGTAGTCCTCCACTCATCAAGTCGTTCATGAGATCATAGTTTGGAGCAACACTGGTAAATACATTTCCAACAAATTTGCTCTTTTCTTCTTCGGGTACTTCCTTAAACCCTGAATCCACAATCGTCAAAGTAAATGCTCTTCTTTTTTGCACATGCACTGTACATAGCGTAAATGCAGGAAACAGCGATAGTTGCATTATCAGTATGGCCTAATACAACCAAATTGGTATATGATGTTTTGAAAGATCAAATTAGAATCGAATTGCTATTATACTAACCGAAACTCGTAGCATGGGATGGAAAAGTAGACGACAGACGATATACTGATGAGAGCAGTTTGCTTCTCCTCATAGGACCGCGAGCTAAAGACACCAGAGCAGCAGCCATGTTTAACCTGATTGTTGTTCGCCTGGGTGGGGAGATATTACCAAGGGCGAATCCAGAAAGTTACAATGGGATGGGCTGGGGAAAAAATTGAAATACATATACATAATATAATAAGTCAAGTGGTCAACACTTTAAATATTCATCAAAACATCATTTAAGTTGTGCCCTACGCGACTTCAAAGTGTAAAATTCATCAATAATAGAATCTACATCTATTCTATTGACGAAATCTCATTCAATGTAGATCATCAATGAATCTTCAAGAAAATCATCTCCAATTTTGTTACGAAGTGCCGTCTTCACATGCTTCATTGCTGAAAAATGCTCTTTCCGTAGTAGCAGTAGAAATAGGTAGCGTCAAAACAAGACGAATTAATCTCATAAGCATAACATAAATTTCTGATTTCCCACTCTCAGTCAAATGTTGGCATAACTCAACGAGTGTCAAATGGAAAAAGATGGAGGCAACTCCAAATTTGAGATAGATTAGACTTCAGGGACTTGGACATGTGGAGGAACATCATTGAGTAGATCTTGGACTAGCGTAGGTATAGGTTCGGAACTCACTTCACCAATTTGACGATTCACTTTCGGAAAGAATGATAAAATCAAAGTCATTCCTTTCTTGACAACATGTTCATTATCCATTTTAAAAAACATTTTCAATATTGGGATAAATTGAAATACTTATATATATAAAAAAAAATATAACTAATAAGAATTCTCAATTTGCAACTGTATAATAACTAAATCATTTTCTACTCTTTAATTCTATCTTTAATCATTAAAAATTTATAATGAACTAAACACTATTTAATAATGTACTGAAAAATTCAATTAATAATCAAAATGATTCCCAAATCCTAAACTCTAAATTATAAAATGCTAAAAATGATAATACATTAATACACAATCACGGCATAACACATTCAAAATTTAACACAAAGTCAATCAAAATAATAAAGAGAAAATCTAAAAAAGAATTACAAATCCAGATTTTTTGTCTTAGAGTTTACCTGGTTGAGGGAGGCAGAGGCCAGAGATGCCTCACGCAGAGCTGCTGGCCGCCTGAGCCGGACTGCGGACTGCGGACTGCCGGATCCGTCGGTCGGCGGCGGCGGGGCTGCTGTTCACCTTCACGTCTTCCGTATTCGGTCTTCGTCGCAGACTCGCAGGTTCCCGAATCTCGTCAATCGCATGCTGCAGTCCTCCAGTTAGCGTAAGTGCGTAAATGAGAAGGAAATAGGCCGATAGGCTGGACGCTGCTAAGTGCTGGGTTGTTCTTGTGGGCTGGGCTGGGAATTACCTTTGGGATGGGCTGAGAATTAATTTTGGGATGGGCTGAGAATTTAATATATACCTATTCTGAAAAAAACTATTTTTGGCGGGGCTGAAGGCCACCCGAGGTCTATCTTACATCCGCCCCTGGATATTACTAATCATCTATTCCTATGGAACCCGATGCGAGGAAAGGTTTGTGGCCTAATTAGTTAATTAATGCTGCCGATTTTCGCACTCAACAGCTCCAGTCCAAACATAGAATCGCATTGCCCGGATAAGTAAGGGGCACTTGCACTTTGATACATGCCACTTCATTATCCACCCATACTACATGAGTGTTTGCGATTGCGTTTATTTCAGAAAAATGGATTTTTAAAATGATTTTGGAGAAAATATTTTGGGAAGAGTCATGGACCCGGGTCTCGGGTTTTTTTAAGGAGGCCCGGGGCTGGCCCGGGTAGCCTCCAGGTCCGTTCCGGGCCTCGGGTCAATTTTTTCTATTCCTAATTAACCCCCCCCCCCCCCCAGGAGTGGATTCGGGTCGGGCCACCCGGCCCATGGAACGGCCCAGCCAGCTACTGTGCGGGACCGGGACCGGCCAAGTTTTTGGGTCCAGGTCGGGCCTACGCCCGGTGGGGGGTGGGGGGGGGGGGGTCCGGCCTCGGGTCTTACATTTGACGAACCGGCCCGGCCAGGTCGGCTGGTCGGGCCCGGGTCCGGGCCAAATTGATTTTTTTTTCTTCCATTTTTTGGGGTTCCACCCGGGTTGGGCTTGACGGTTAGGAGGGGTTTGGCGAGGGGGTGATGGGGGGGGGTAGGAAAGCAAAAAAAAAAAAAAACGGAGGCCCAAACCGAACTCGGTGGCTACCCGGGTCCACCAATTCTGAACCGCCGGCCCGAGTCCACGCATGCCCCCTTCACCCCCAACCCCCCAAACCACCCCAAATGGTCCAAAATACCCAGCCCAACCCGAAAAGATAATAAAAAAATTGAAAAAAATAAAAATAAAAAGCCCGGAACCGGGCCCGGAATGGCCGAGCCAGTTCAACTTTTAGGTGACCCGAGCCCGCACCGAGAACCCCCGGGCCGGGCCTACCCAGACCGGTCACTGGCTGGGCCACTGGGCCAGGCCGGTTCAGCACAGTACCGATTCCGGGTCGGGCCACCCGGCTCGAGTCCAAGACTATTTGGGAAAGTTTCCGAAATATGATTAAAATAGTTTGAAAATTTCAAAATAAAATTGTCATATTTTTTGTTCCCAAAATAAGAATAATTACTGCCAAATTTGAAAAATACTGTCATGTTTTAAGACAACTTGTGGTTTACAAAATACTTTTTAGTATTTACCCACATGATTTGGTCAATTTTTGAGGATGCCATGGAATGGATATTTTGGATGCCGCGGAGGCGCATCCTACACAGATTGGATGTTGAGGCATGGACATCTTGGATGCCGCGGCTTAGACACAGAGACGGAGTCAGGATGTAGTATGAATGGTGTCAAAATAATATAAAGTATTTTCTTTAAATAGGACTAAAAACATTTGTGTATTCCAAAACATGGATATTATATTTTTATTTTCTAAATAGAAGCAATAACTGCCATGTTTTGGTGTAAAACATGGCAATCCTCAAATAATGTGAATTCACTATCTAATTAAATACTAGTATCCTCAACATTATTCTTTCAATCATACATGAAAGACTTGTGAGATAGGAGAATATACTATCTCTATATACAAATATATACACTAAATACATACTTTGAGTGGTGTCATTTGACACCATAACCTATTACTTGGCGCCATCCCTGCTTAGACAGATTCGGTACTGCGGCATGGATATCTTGGATGCTACGGTTATGAGGCATTAGTCTGGATTTAGGGTGTATGCCACTAGCAACACCTTTCATTTTTTGCTTTGATTTCATTGTATTGTATGATCTGTGTGTGTGCCACCGCCGCATATTTTGATTTTTGATTGGACAAGTATTTATACTTGGTCCTTGCCTCTTGGGCGTGGATTAGATCGAGAAAAAACCCTCCTTTCACCCCTACATTATGTGGGATAATGTGGGGTGGAAGGTTTAGGAGATCTAGGACACTTGATATATAGTTTCTTGGGTGTTAATATATATTTACATTTGATCCCAAAAAAAGTACACAATATAGACACCACCACAAGGATGAAATTAAAAATACTAAGCCAGCTTAATCAAAAGACATGTATTATAAATATTCTATAGCATAGCCGCTGAATGTTATATAGCTTGCCAAAATTCCATTGAGCCCCCGCATTTGAATTTGCCCACTACTGTTGGTGAAGGCTGTCCACGTACAGAATTTCTCACCTGCCTTCTCTCGATACATCATACTACTATCAATGAATTTTTGTGTGGGCTTTGGGGGGTGAGGTGGGGTGGGGTGAAGAAGGAAAATGAATGTTGACTAGTACAACAACCTTAGTCTCTTGAGGACTGCATGAGCTCGAACCACTGCAACCACATCGACATGTTTACATCAGATAATGATAAGAAGACAAAATGCCCAAAAGAAAATCATTCAGTCAGTCATGAATACTGTAGTCCTTACCTGTCTCAACAAATCAGCTAGCGTCCTGGGAAGGGATTCTACATTCTTCAACACCAGATAATACGGGAATGGGAACGAATCCAAATACTTGTTGAACTTCACGCTTCCCCCCTGAAATGTGGCTTCCTGCAACACAAGATATTCATTCATTAAAACCACATGTAAAATATTATACAAAAACAAACCGAGTGAAAAGATAGATAAAATACCTGAAGGTCCGTAATGGACTCTTCAGGGCTATCCAGCAGAAGGAATGCAACTAAGCGCTTTTTATTCATTAGGTCTCTCACACACCGCTTCAATTTGTCCTGCACCAACAAGAGGATTTTTTTTTACGTCAAGTCTTTGACCAGTTTTGTCTTTCTACCGAGAAGTCATAGAGAGAGTAGTAATACCTTCTCATGAAACCGACCATCTGCTATTATCAAAACAAGTTGCTGGAGAGGGCTATCTCCAGTTGGTAGCCTTGCATTTAAGGCAGCTTCATCAAGCATATTGCTCAAATACTTCACCAGATCAACCATTGGTTCATCTGCTATTGTGTTCTCTTGCTTAAATGTAAAACTTGATATCATCTGCTCCATTACATTTAAAGAAAGATACTTGTGAAATCAGTTGTTGGGAGATAAAAGAAAATGAGATATTTATCAGGCGGCAATCTCTAAAAAATAGATTACAGACTTACTGACCTTAACTCCAGCCTCTCCAGTAAACGGCTGATCGAAATCATGCAACAGCCGGATATTCCCCTTTTTCCCAAAGCTTGCAACAGCCAACTTTCCCACCTCCAACTGAGACATTGCGCGGCACACCGTTACCAAAGCTTCCATAGCGACACGGCCACAACGTGATTCAGACATGCTTTGAGAATCATCCACAGCAATGACAACTTGATAATCACGTTTGTTTGGCTTTGTACGGCGCAGCCATATCTTATCTTTCCGATAATGACTTGCAATATAGGGAATTACCTGGGTAACAATGTGCAGAATGACTTTCAGAATGACTCCTGCCATCCAATACTAATATGCAGGAATGTTAAAAAAAAATTACCTTTTTCATATTGATCCTTTTGCCTGTCCTGTAATCCCCTCGGAGCTTGCTGGCTAGAGTGGGCTCCATAATCAAGCGTAACTGCTCAGCTAACTCCTGGGAAAGCCTTGTGGTGCGAAGTTCATAAGTTCTCCAAAGAGCCGCATCTTTCATGTCACCTGTTGATTCTTCTTCTAGCTTGCAGCCCTTACCCAAGTCATCATCATCAGTCATGGAGAGATTGCTGAATTGATTTATATCCTCGTTTAAATAATTCCTCATCACTGAAATCAGATTCAAGGATGAACTACTTCCGACATGACCTCCTCTATCCTCTTCAGCAGACTGTTCAGGTTGCTCGTCTGTTTCCAACTTCTCCAATGGCATTTCAATATCATTGTTGAACTTGGAAGCAGAACAAACAATAGCTTGGGAATGAAGTTGGAGCTTACTGAGATCCATTTCACTAGCATGTTCCTTTCTCTCGTTCACTCCAGCATCACCTTCAACATCATTTCCATTCACATTTCTATCAATCTGGTCAGTCGTTGCTGGCCCAATTGCTTGGGCTGTCCCCTTATCGAACTCCCCTGTATATCGATATTCAACTGCATCATTATCTTCCAAGTCATCTGCACTCTGTAAGTTATCCTCTATATCAGTAGAAACGTTTACTCTCTCTTTCCATCCATCAAGAGCATCTCCAACATTACGACACGGATTTGGCTGATTCCTACACACAGATGAGGAGTTATCTTGAGGGATTGGAGTTTCATTTCTATTACCACTTAGTAACTTGTCGCCACTAGATGAGTCCGCCACCATGATATCTTGATCATATGCATCAGAGCCTCCACCAGGAGCAAGGTTATGCTCCAGTCCACCGCCATTCGACCGTTCTGCCTCTTTGCTTGAGTTTTTCAACTTTTCGGCATCAGGGTTATCATCTTTGGACTCAGGTAGATCTAGTCCACTTTGACCATTCTGCTCAGTTTGAGCAGCAAACGGGGAAGCATTAGGCTGAATAACATCTCCATTTGGCACGAGTTGTTTCTCGTTTGCGTCGCTTTCATGATGGATGTCCTCCTCTTGAGCTCCACCAGACATTTTCTCATCAATGTGTTTGTCATCAGTTTCTCCCAGAATGTCATCCTTTGAGTCAGTAGGTTCCTCATCATTCTCACTGTTATCAGAGACATCTGGATTTGCATGATCTTCCTCCATGGGTTCAGTTTGTTCTGATGGATCCAAATCACCGCCATCATCTTCTTGATCTGCATCTTGCTCATCAAGTTTCAACCCTGCAGGATCCACATATGCATTTCCTTCATCAATATTCATGTCTTCTGTTTCATCATCAGGCCTTTCTGCGTTCCCATTTTCATCATGTTGTTTATCAGACTCCCCAGGATCGCACCCCTCTCTTTCATTATTCTCATCATCATAAGAGGAAGTATCATCTTTGGCTTGGAGTTCCCGATCATTTCCGTTGTCGGTTACTGATTGCGCAGACTTATACTTCTCATCTATACTGTCATCATCTTCGTCACCTTTCTTGTCCCAAGGTTTCTCATCAACTTTGTCACTGTGATCACCAGTGGGACCCATAGCAGAATCTATTTCCCCATCCTCCTCTTCATTGCCATCTTTGTCATCAACGGAATCTGTACTAAGACTATACGCAGGACCTGTAAGATCTTCTTCCATCTCAATTCCCTTATCTTTGGCACTTGACAAGTCATTAGAATCATTATTCTCTTGCTCATTTGGCTGCAAAAAATATTAATTATTTACCGTTTTATTAGAGGTAAACAAAAATAGATACAAAGTGAACAAGAGATAAGTATGGGATTTTGTCAATCCATACTTTAGAAGCCTCAATGAGTTGATCTTCATCAGTTATCTGATCACTGACATCATTACATCCAGTGCCCTCACCCATACCCGTACCACTTGCATTTGGAATTTCATCTTGACAGGAATCGTTCATTTGGTCTTCTTTAGTACCATAACCATTGGAGAACAGTGAAGAAAAAACTTCTGCTAGGACATGAGTCATTACAGATACCTGCATTTTACAGAATGAATAGGTAATGCAGAAAGATAAACTCAAACAGGCATACATAGGGATCAACATTATAAAGAAAGCTGCCGATGAAAAACTAAAAGGAATAAAAGTTAATTATAATAATACCATCCTATGCATGTCCAGAGAACAGTGCAGAAGACCTTCTCCAATAGCCATAATTGCATTTGACAAGCAATATAGATATTTTAGATGTGTTCTAATAATCATCATCATTGCCTGAGTGCTGCAAAGGCTCTCACTTACGGTGGGATAAGGGGGGTCGGATGTACGCAGAGTTAAACTTTGATTTTGGCGGCCATAATAATTCAATATTTTTCTCTGCACAAAGTATGTAACAATTAAAAAATCAAATAATCATTGACAGAAACACCCAAACATGACAGATCAATAAAAAACAAAATGATAGCAGCACTCACAGCTACACAGATGGTCTTAAGTAATCTATCACTGATCACATCCAGTTGGAGTGTTACTATATTTGACTGCAGGAGCTCCTTCCACACACCAACATTCAGCTTATCAGGAAGATCATTCCCTAGTGAGCCCATAGCATGAAGAGTGTCCATCATATAATTGCAGGTCTCCATCAGGAACAAACCAAAATTATTTTCAGCATCGTTGATGTTTTCCGAATGATAACTAGAATAAACATCATTTTCTGAAGAGTAGCAATCAGCACCGAACTGTCCAGCTATGAAGTTGGCCTGAATTGCAAAGCAACTATTTCAGATTTAAATGTTGAAAGGATTTGCAAAAGTATAGCAGTAATGCTAATCTTGGTAGAATGCAGTGCCCAGAAAAACCCATACTATTAGCTACAAGTAACATCTCAATACCTTCTCAAATATATCAGTGAAATGCTCAAGCAGAATATTTTCAACTGCAGCTTCTCTATCGCCAATTTGACTCCGGAAACTGTGGAGTTCATTCTCAAGGGACTTAATCAATTCAAAATTTTGAGTTAACCTTTTCTCCAAGTGTTCTGTAATGCCACAAGGATGCAATGGGGCCTCCCCTATGGTTGTGGTTGTAGCTCTATCAATACCAAGAACAAGATCATCCAGCAAATCCTGTTATATAGTTCCAATGGACAAAATTGAAGGATAAGCTATCACAGAAACTTGCATATGCCGAAATAAACATTGTTGTAAATTCAAAAAAAGGTTTACTATGTCTTTTATTCCCATGCCACTTTAATAAAAAAAAAGTGAGAAACTGTGGATACAAAATAAGGGAAAAGTGGCATGTGACAATTGCTGTTGCCTTCTATATACTTCTTTTTCTTTTTGTTAGGCGGAATATATTGTGGACTTTCCCAAGCAAACATCAATCTCCAGATTCATTTCTACCAAGTGTAAAATAGCTTCAATATAATGATAACATGGAGAACAGAGAATTGCAACAGCCTGTACAAAAATGAAGAGAAGTGGGCCTTTTAAAAATTATATGATTCTTCTAAGCAAAAACAAAACTGAAACAAGTTAATACTTTATTTTCCATCAGGAAAAGTAACTGGTTTTGTTCCAGTAAGAAGTATTCCCTTCTCCCAAAAAGTCATCTTAAAAGTTCCACTTTTAAAAATAAACAGAAAGACCAGGTTTCCGACATTACCCTTTTAACATAAACCAAAGCGTAGTCATGCTAAAAGAAGGAAGGATAAATTTACGCATCACCCCCCCCCAAAAAACATATTTGTTGTCAAATTTATGCGTACAGTATTGGAAAGGTACTGTGTGCCACCAATAGGCAGATTTATTCATCCAGTATTCCAGGTTACCCATTTACATAAAGATAGTTTATGAAAAACTACCTTCGATTGTTTAATAACTGGAATGTGTTTTCCAATGAAAAGAAGAAAATCCGTTGCAGACTGTCTGACACTTGTGCAAGGACTCAAATGGTTATCCAGTACTGTTTGTAAGAACAAACGCTCTTCATGCAACAGGCAATATAAGCCATCAAAGAGATGCTGCAAGAAAATGCACATTATGCATTTGAAATAAAAGCAATGTACATCAAAACAATTACCTCTGCTTAATAAAGGCCTACCTTTTGCTGCCACAAGCAATTAAAACACTTGTAATGGTTTTGGGTCAAACACAGATTAGTGTTACCATCTGAAGAAAAAAGGGAGTCCATGAATATATTGACCAAAGGTAAACGACACTCCTTAAAATGCGCAAGTTGACGAGCAAAAGCATAGACAGCTGCACGCTGCTCTTGTTGAATAGTAAGAAGATGGTCAATGTAGGACCCTGACCTCTCAACCTGCATTATACAAAAGAAGAACCTCTATTAGCCTGTACTTACTATAATATAAACACAATACACAATTTTGATGAAAGAAGAAACTGAACTTTGCTTCACTCCAGAAGATTAATCAACTGAAAACTACCTGTTCGAGAGTAAAATCCTTATGGAAGTTTAGGCTAATATTCTGCAATAGTTTCATTGATTTGATGCTCTTGAAGTAGTACTGATTAGCAGATTTCCATTTAGAATTAAAATTTTCATCAGAAGAGGCCTGAAGCTGTTTAAGAATGAGATTTTCAGCAACACCAGATGATAACCCAGTTTTCGTCATGAGCAAGTCCCGCACTTCGAATGACGGCTGAAGAAGCCAACATATTGATGCATTGGATTCTAGTTGGCCCTATATCACATAAATTAACAAAATGACATCATAAAATTAGTAAATGTAAGATCATACTATCCAAATAATATGGATGGTACCTCTTTGAATGTTGATCTGTGCTTAGACAACCCACACACATCCAAGACCTTGAGTAGATCTGAAAAAACTCTTCTTCTACTTGACTTCTTTTTATCATCATTCCACACCTCCACACAACCAATTAGAGTCCTACATATTTCATCAATTGTATGCCAAAGTTGATTCCAATTACCAGAGCATGAAATCTGTGAACACTGAGGTGGTAATCCATCCTTTAGAATCCTTCTGACTTCTGCATCATTGAAGCGTGCAACTTGATTTCAGATTATCTAAGAACTGGCAATTTTAAAGAAATAAATACTACAGATTTCAAAATCAAGAGTAGGGTAGAACTAACCTATAATGTTTTCCTTAAAGGAAATGCCAGCCAAACAAGTTTCTGTTTTACTGCTGACATGCAGATCTTGAACAACATCCTCAACTTCCTTCCACCAAGCAGCATATAGAGGACTGTAGTAGAAAGAAACTATTTTAATAATGACCTAAACAACAGCAACATATTATAAGAGAAAATGAACTACCTATTCTTTATGAACTCAATCTGATCACAAAGTGCATTAAGAATATTTCTGCTCCTCTCATAAAAGTCAACTGAAAAAATTGTGTCTTGGATGGTTTGAGAACTTAGTCCCCTTCCTTTTACTTCTTGATTGATAATCAACATAACAGGTTGTTGAAGTAAATCCTGCATGAATACAACAATCAGCAATTCAAAAATATTGGAAGCATATTCTACGGAGTGAAAAAACTCTAAAATTAGATCATCTAGATCAGATTAAATATCCATTTCAATTCAAATATATTTATTCTAGTTGTTTCCATGTATTTAGCCTTCCTTATTTTAGGCAGTCTCTTATTAATGAGTCTCTAATAAGTTTAGATCTGTTCCCTAATGTTGTTTAGGAACCTTGTTTCTTCCTAGAGATATGCTTGGTGTGCCCCATTTTGGAGTACCCCATGATAGAACACTGGTAGATCCGACTCACAATAAGAGATATTTTGGAAGAATTGATCAAGAAGATGATCAAGAAATCTTTATTGATGAAAGGGAATGTTTACAGAAAGAATCCAGTAGCCTAGGACAATTCGAGATGCCCAGTCTCCCAGCCTATTCCAACAGAATACTTGCCTACCTCATTTGCCTCCCCTCCCTTTCTATTTATAGTACAAGCCCACTTATTATTATTATTATCTACAAGACTACAATAATAGGCCCATTATTCCTGATTTACTAAATGGCCCACTTATTATTATCTACAATAATAGTACATCATATACTTCCTGATTTACTAAATGGACCATATTCTAGTATTCTTATTGGTATTATTATCCATGATACTATCACCCCATTTGTACACCACCATTTGTGTGGTTCACAAAAGCTCAAACGTTAAATCAATTGCCCCACTTTAATGAATTGCCTTTTTGTGAACCACACCAATGGGGGGGGGGGTACAAATGGTGTACCTATAGTACTTTTCTTCTGCCTATAGCTTATCAGTTTGAATATAGTATTAAGTTTGGAATAATTAATCTCTTGATTTGCTGGTGGAACCAAGGGTCACCATATGATAGACACTGATAAATATGAAGGCCAATGATAGATAATAAAAGCACCATAGGCTACCCTAAAATACAGAACAAATAATTACACATCAACAAAAACCAAAGAACTATCTTAAGCAGATAAAGCTACTCACGGTAAATTTCTGAACAAGTTTTTTGAGTTTACGCCTAGTTCGCCCAAAGCTCTCTAGGTCCGCATAATCCTCAACTCGTTCCCATCGACACAGCTTCACAAGCTCTTTTAGTTCCTTCTCAATATTCCATTTACTGGAATCCATGTGATCCAAAACCCTTGGAGGTAAAATAGGACAGAGAAACAAACAGAATAGAAGAGGCCAGGTACATCAGTTTTACAGTTCTCAATCTGAAAACATGTCTGTTGAATAAACATTATGGATATGAGAGAACTCACATTGGCAAGAACTGCACATAATAGCCAAAACTGTTATATAGAACTTTCACAATCTCCTCAGGGCTAAAAATACAAGAATGGTTAGCACTGCATTCTTTAATACAGTCAGATACACAATTCTAACTTTGAATAAGATGGCATGTGAGAATAGTTCATGTACTATGACTGTAAAAATATGTACAGAACTGATATCAATTTCCTCAATACCTTGAAGAAGAATCTCTGAGCATGCAATTACTCAGGTGTCCATGAAAAGCAACAAGTAGTTGAAGGCGCTTTCTAAAATCACCAACACAGGACGTTTGAAAAAATGCCTCCAAGCTGTATGTAGTATTAGGGTCAAATAAAAAATACAAATTCTTGCATTACAGATAAACTTGATGATTAATGGGCAAAATGGTATAGAAAATGTGCCTTGCCTTTCAACCACAGACGAAGTATATCCAATATTGTCAGTACACTGTTTAGGCTGAAGTACTGAATACAACGGTAGCCATAACTGCATTTATAAATTTCAGTAAATAGTTAATCCAACAATCCAATCATTTTGGCACAAAGTAGTAACTGCAAATGTATGGAAGAAAACAATCATTAATGATATAAGATAGACCACATTGAATATCTCGACAGCATAATCATTACGATCTGCCAGTACAGCAGCAACAGGAATTAATCCATACAAGGAGAGAAAAAACTACCTTTGAAGCATTCTTCTCAAATTGATCTTGAACTTCATTAAGCAAAGCAGGCCAAGATTCAAACTCCAGCTTATGCCACGAGGACACCAAACTAAAAATACATCTCATTTGATCTAGGGCATATCCATTAGAAGGGAACATTGGTTAGAAACTTATCAGTGCAGTACAACATTATGAAGAAAATGGTGATTATCAGAAAATAGTGATTATTTACCAGACAATGGAAACTTGGCAACTGTCTGAAATAACATGTTGACTCGATTAAGCAAGAAATGCAAGCCAGAGAGAGCCTTCACAAACAAATACAAAGATAAGAGTAGAAACTAAAGAGCACCAATATGAGTTTAGAATTATATGATTCCAATCCTATGTATGCAAATCTTATAATAGAATCTACCTTAGCGAGAGCAGCACTTAGAGGAATAGCCAAGAGCATGTCAATAATATCAACTATCTTCTGAAGAGCAGGATGGTTATCCCATTCATTCAAAAGATCGAGAACTTTCTGTTTAAGAGAAGTTAAAGGAGCTACCATTGATGCCATAGCAGGTGCATTTGAATCCTAAGAGTGGTATCAATTGCATTGGAATGAGAAGCTGGAGCTTTAATGATACGAAGGTATTTGATACACATAAATATAACAATCCAAAACAAACAATGAATAACCTTATAAAAGTTGTATGCAAGCCCTGATTGACTAGGAGAAACAAATATCTGTTTATGCTCCAAACACAGGCGAAGTAAGTTTTCTGGAACAACCTTAGCATCCAAACTTGAGCAGAAGAAACCATCTAAACCTGCAGAAAGCATGTACGGAGAATATTTAATGATAATCCTAAGAAACTAAAAAAAATCTGATAGCTCTGACACCAGTTTACCTTTTTTCATTCTTACACCCAGTGAATATGATTCGATGAAAGAAGACAATCTGTCTGTATCAGATATGTGAATATTTCCAGGCTGTGATACAGAAAAAATCATCTAGTCACAAATCTTGGTACACAAAAATCTTAGAAATACGATTGCAGTATATAATTTTCCCAGTGCACTGGATGTACTGTAATTTATTAGTTAACAGCTCACAGGAATGATATCTCACTGCTCCACACACAAGACTTACATTTTCAACAAGATCTACTGAACCAAATATTTGATTGTGAATGTGGATCATGTCATTTATAATGGGCTCTTCAACAGAATTCCATTCATCCTCTGGGGTTTCACATTCCTTCTCAGTTTTCTCCTAGTATAATGAAAACACAAAAAAAATATTTTAAAGAAAGATGATTAATAATAAGACTAATAGTAGGTAATTAGGCACTCAGGAGACCCATTACATTGTCAGAGATTTCATCACCACAGAACATTTCCTTCCAATCTGAGAAACTCTCATATGAAGCAGCACTTTCCAAATTGGAAATATCACTGTCAAGGATATTTTCTATCTTAAGCGGGCGCGATCGGAACCTGACTAGTTGATCGCTATTGTCTTCTTCTTTCATTCTGATATGCAGTTTCATGTGCAACCAACGCCTTGCAAAATCATCAAATATCTTCTCCAGAAGCTGAAAGATTTTGGCAAAAGATATATCATTTGATGAACAATTTTTCATACTGACAAATTAATTAAGGATTATAGTTATACTCACTGCAAATGATGAGTTATCCATGAAGTGAGCATCAGCTGCAGAGTGCATCAATCGAACTAGAATATTGTGGTACAGAGAAGCTGAGATCTGCTAGCACAAGAACCCTCTTAAATAATTAATAAGGTGTCACTTTTCAGTTAACCTACATGATCAATCATGCTCTGTACAATTGGGAGAGAAGAAAATAAACAGAAGAATCACGAACCATTCCATCAGCAATGCTATCATCTTTGGTAGAAACAAGATCCTCAAGAAAATGCAAGTCCAGTGTGTTGACATCTGTAGGCAGCTCAATATCATTCCAGGATAACTTGTACAGGGTACTGTCACCCTTGTAGGATGCACATTTTTTTGCACATACCCTTGGGAATCTCATAAAGGAATATATTGTCCCCTGCAATGTAGCAGGAGAAGTTACAGACAGCAGAAATGGAATGAAATACATGTGTGCAATAAAATATATTGGTCTATGAGTTACCAGAACAGAATCCATGTCTTGTTTATCAAGTAACTTTCTAGCTAAAGCATTTGAAAGAATAAGAGAGGAGCCTAATTTCATTTCATATATTGACATCTGTATTAGTTGAACTATATCCACGTAATCAGCATATTCTTCTGAAAGCCGCTCAATAAAGCGTGTACATGTCTCCTGCAATTTGAAATTGAAACTAATACAATGTGAAATTTAACACAAAAATATATAACAAGTCATAATCAGCAACACAGCAGTCATATCTTAGTAAACAACAAATCTGACCTGCCAATTTTGGAGTTGATCATACATATCCTCCACATGCTCACTTTTTGCAAATGTAATCCAGCTAAAAACCCTCTGGACCGACACAAAAATATATAGCATGTCATAATCAGCAACATAGCAGTCATATCTTAGTAAAAACAACAGATGTTACCTGCCAATTTCGGAGTTGATCAGACATATCCTCCACATGCTCACTTTTTGCGGATGTAATCCAGCTAAAAACCCTCTGGACCGACTTAAGAAAATCATCACAGTGGTATTTCAAATTCTTGAACTTCCCAGGATCAGAGCGGAATACAATCTGAGTAAAAAGAAGAAGGAGAATAGGAAGAAGACAATAGCGATTATCTGAGGGAAAGGGGCAATACAGTTCAAAGCAATTATAGATTGCATATGGCACACTACTGACAATTGCATGCCAAAATTAGCAATGATAAGTTATCGATGCAGTGTGTACTGAATACTGAAGTCTTGGTTTATATAAAAACAAGAGATAATAAGAACCCTAATTTTTTGAATATATCAAGGGAGCATATCAGATACATGTAAACATTGATGACCAGAAGAATGTGTGATGAAGACACTTGTGTAATAGGAAAAAGTGTTTATCTTGCCCAATCTGTAGGAAATTATTACGATATAAGAAAAGACTTTTACTATGATGAAGACTTTTTTAAAATATACGAAAAGACTTTTTACTATGATGCTATGCCTTTATGTTCAACATGAAAACAATTTGGTGGGGTGGGGGGTAACAGCCTTATGAGGTTTCCCTAGATGATCCACTACTATTGACATTATCATCAAAAGTATATGTCATACTGTAATCACATCAAAAAACAGAAATTTCTCTATTGATGGTGATCAGATAAGTGAACTCTAAAACAATCAGCAACATTAAAATGAGAATAACTTTTAAAAATTCCCATACCTTTTTTTTAAGATTCCTCAGCTTATTGTTGAGGCCCTCCAGCACATTAGTATGTTTATCATCTTCTCTTAACTGAAAAGAACCTGCTAAGTAAGTACTCTGTCTTCTTACCTGTAAAAGAAGACATCTGGTATTATATAAACTTGGTCAAGGAGCAAACTGATAAGCTTGACACTAGGTCTTCTTCTTACAACACTTCCCATTTTGGTTGTCAAATTTTATGTTTAGGAATTGACTTTCAAGACTATGAAGGCTAAACCCTCATCTTCAAGAAGCTACACGATTGAGTCATTTATGAAACGTCTCTTGATCAATAACAAGTTCCAATTATACTAAAAGTGAGTACTAAAAGTTCCAATAGAACATAATTAAATATTTATGTGTGTCATCATCTCAAAGGAAAATTTAGATATACATCGTATTGCTCATAAAAATATCTATTTTCCAAAAAAAATCTCGACGTGGAAGTGCTTAAAATCAAGTGATAAAGGAAGCAACTCAAGCTAAAGATATAGCAAAATAAATATAAATCATACCTGATTCTCAAGCTCAAGGGAAGCAATTTTTTGTGTGAGCTGAGAGTGCTTTACAGAGTATTTTAAAGTGGGATCCAAATATGCGTGACTAATCAGAAGGCAGTATCGTAAGGCACCAACCATTAACCATGCAGACCCCATATTACGCAAAATATCTACAAGAGAAGGGAGGGAAATGAAATATCAAAATAAAATTAAAAATGGAGCTCCAATCCTGATAGTTAAAATAAAACATAGCAATTACCAATTGTAAATCAAACAAAAAAAGTCATGTATTTACCACTTGAACATGGGAGATAAAGGACACGGAGCAATGGCTCAATTAAGAGGCTAAGCAATGATGTAAAATGTATATGGTTTGAAGATGCAAGAAGAGAAATCACGTCCTTCACATCCTTCTCCTGAAACATAGATAAAACGACTAGATAGTTATTCAGTAATAAAACGACTTTTGTTTATAAGATAGTGTTCCATTGACAAACAATTTGTGTTCTCCCCAATATATCATTAAATCTGTCAGGCTCATCTAAGTAAAGTGACATCCATCAAGTTAAGGATACAATGAAAAAAATCAGTAAAAACACATTTTTAGAGCAAACATCTTTAACATAAAAATCTTAGACAATGGATACCGTGATCATCTTCTCGCGAGTAGAACGAAAGAAAGACTTGATTCTCATGTACTTGTCTGCTTCAAATGACATTCTGTGTGCATTTATGATCTAAAATCACAGGGGAGAAGATACTGTGGAGGTTAATATAGTAGCCACAATAAAGAAAACGTGAATGCTGAGAAATTAAAAAGAAGCACCTGCTGGAAAAGGGACTGAGCACCAGATAAAAGGAACTTGGTTATTGAAACATCTCTAGAACCATGCCAGAGATGGCGTGATGATGATCTAAGTTTCAGGCTGTGCATGGAGTAATCTCTAACAGCAAATGCACCTTGCCTGTACTCAGCAAAAATGAATTACAAACTAAACAGGAAAGTATAACAGTAAATGTAGCAGCCCAAATTTTGGACATGCATAGACAAATTGTAAAATAATGTAGAGTGTGGAACAAGAACCTCGATAACTAGTCCTAATACACTGGCCTCATATGGAGAAATAATGTGATTTGAGTGTTCATTAGTTCACGATTTCAATTTAGGCAATACACTCAATCATGTCACAAAAACTGATATTAATCATGTTCAACCAAGGTGCAACTTTTTTATTTTGGCACGGAAAGCTGCTTTAAATCATTAATCCCAAGGTACGGTCATCATGAGGAAAAATAATGTGCTAAGTGTTTATTGGCTCACGATTTCAATAACGTAGTCAATACACATCCAATCATGTCAAGATATATGTGATTAACTATGTATGGCGGAGTTTTCGTGGGAATAAATCGATACCAAGTGAATGGTAATATGGTATCATGTGAAGAGATGTACTTTAAGTGCTCATTATTGAAATGAAGTAGTAATCAAGTTTGACCAAGGTGCAACTTGTTTTGGCAAGGAAAACTGCTTGAAAGCATCTTTAAAAATTAGTCATTGGCTTGACTTGATTAATTGAATTTAAATTGTCTGTGACTCTTTTTATAAAGTATATGCAAAACTTAGCTAGTATTTTACTATTTTATCAACATGGCGATTTTACGCGATTTTCACTATGGGTCATCCGGAAACCGTCTCTCTGTGCTTTAGTACAGGGGTAAGACTGCGTACATCCGACCCCCCCTTACCTCACCGTAGGTGGGAGCCTTTGCAGCACTGGGGTAAATGAAAATGAAAACGGCCTTTTTCAGACAAAAAAATTGTTTGAAGCAAATCACATTTTTTGGGTGGATGAAGTAAGCATCAAAACAAAGATATTATGAAATTGTTCCAACTGATGTGGTAGGCAACTACCCAGAAATAAAGACTACCTTATTCATTATCAACCATGCAAACGAAAATCATCAGGACAGTAACTTACAGAATTTTCTCAATAGCAGTCATTTTCACTGACATAAAAAGCCTATCAGGTAGAACACCATTTTTAAATCCATCCCAGGAAAGATTCTGATGAAAATGAAGAAGATATAGAGTGAACTCATGTTGAACTTAAATCAAAACATTAACCGATGCTTGCACAGTGGAAATTGATGTTTACCTCAAAAACAACATGGCAAGGGTTCCACAAAGCAGTATGCCACGCAAACCACATCTCAAGAATGAAACTTGAGATCTTTTTACTAACTGCAGTGAATCAGAAAAAAGCTAGGATTATGAAATAAAAGTCTAACATACCCAGCCCAGAAACAGGGAATCATCATAACTGAAATTGTACAACAGTAAATGGCCATTCTAAAAATAGACAAAACCTGCATGCACGGATGCATGAGCATCTAGCGTCCACAAGATCTTTTGATAACCCATAAAGTCTGTGGGTGGCCTGGGAGAAAAGTTCATAGAAAAGTGCAAAGTATACTCAATGCAGCCAGCCAATGCAGTTAATTCCTGTCATGATCAGGAAGGTATTATGTTAAAACACGTTTTGTTAAGGAAATAATAAGGCATGTTCTATAATTTACTGATTTGGCTCTCCAAGTAACAGAAGCATCTAAACAGCAACAAAATCTTATTTCAAAAGATTATTACATAAAGTTGTTCATCGCCATAGGTAGAATCAATCTGGGAAAGACGCTGAAGTAACATTGTTTCAAGAATGAACCCAATATCATCAGCTATGGGCAGTGTCTCTAGCCAGCAAAGAATCCCAGATTTGGCAGACAACAATTCAGGAGTGAAAACACAGCAAGTGGATGAATTGGATAGCTGGGGCTCTTGCTGAATAGACCAAGAATTCCCTTCCAACTTGTTCTTTTCAATGTTTAACCTTATAAAGAGAGTCTGTTCAAACAACACAATGCATCAATGAACAAAAAATACTCCATCAGAAGTAAATTGAAAATTAAAAATTCTACAAGCAAACCTGGTATATGTCTTCCAACTGGTTAACAACATTGAGATGCCCTTCATCAGTTTTTTCCATTGCATATGATGACATGCAAACACCTTGAAAAAATAGTCTTTAGATTAGACCTTAGTTGGAAAATATGACACTGTAAAGGCAATCAATGAATATAAACACAACCCAGCAATCCAGCAAAGTTCAATCACATAAAATGCATTGAACATTAACCTGCTGATTTAGTAGTTTAAAGTGAATGATTTAGAAAGAAGTCTTGGTCTCACAGGTTCTGTGTCAGCTAAAACTGGGAGTGGTGGTTTGGTAAAAGGCTCTGGATGCCCAGTCTTTGTCTCAAAGGTTCAGTGTAATTTTCTCAATTTCTCACTTGCTATTTTTTAAAACTGAAAAAGAATACCCTTCAGTCCTTCACATTTCTTTGAACTTCATATTCTTCAATTTCTTTATTATTATTATCATTACTGTTGTTGGTGGTCGTGGGGATGATGTTGTAGTTACTGGAAGTTTGGTGAGGCACTGGATTGGATGGAGGGAACAAGAATCAGAAACTATTCCACTGCACCACTTGGGCCAGAGAAGAGCACTTCAGAGACTAAGGTGGGGGATCCAGGATTCATCAATATGAGTGGAAGATCAGGACAGAGATTTTCCCAAACTGAATTAGAAGAAAGAAGCATAAAGGGACTTTGCTTCAAATGTGGGGACAAGTGGAACAATGAGCATGTATGCAAATTCACACACTATCAATTTGTGCTCGTTGATCCACCTGAAGCAGAGGATGAGTCTGCCAGTCCAGGGGTAGAACATCCTGAGGAGGAGGAGGAGGAGGAAAGCTTTGGGGAATACAAATCATAGAAATTGTCTGTGATGAGCAAGGAAGGGATAACTACTCAGAGAACATTCAAGGTGGAAGGGAATATTCAAGATAGAGAGGAGGCCAGATCAGTGGTGATTTTAATTGATAGCGGGGCCACTCACAATTTCATATCCCAGAGTGTAAATGAATTGGCCTTACCTTTAATCAGATTGGAGGGTTTCAGGTGGAATTGGGAAATGGAGTGAAAATAAGAAATAATGGTATACGTGCAGGATTGCAACTGATGGTGCACGGTTATCTGATAACCCAAGATTTCTATATCCTTGAGCAAGGAGGAAAAAATATAGTTTTGGGGTTGGAATGGTTGACTTTGCTGGGATATGTTCAATTTAACTTCCAGAAACTTGCTAGGTGGAAGGAAGACTCTGGTCAAAACTCTGGTCAGTCTCCGGTATCTTGGAAAACTCTGGTCAAAACTCAAAACAATACAACAGCAAGGACAAGGGCACAAGGCTATTATCCTTGATCTGCAACCTTTGGAGGTTATTGGGAATCAAGAGCAGCCGAGCAGGAGAATCTATTGACAGCAATGGTAGAAGAATATGCTGAATTGTTTCAGATTCCTCATGGTTTACCTTACCGGTACCCGCAGAAGCAAAAGAATGAAATTGAAGTTATAGTCAAGGAGTTACTGAGTCCAGGAATAATCCAACCCAGCACCAGCCTGTGTAGCAGCCGAGTTTTGCTGGTCAGAAAAAAGGAGGCTGGAAATTTTGTGGTGACTACAGAGCCTTAAATAAGATCACAGTTCAAGACAAATTCCCGATCCCTGTAATAGAAGAAGTATTGAATGAATTAGGTACTGCCAAGAATTATTTCCGATCATCACCACCATCCTTATGAGCCTCCAGTTGCGGCAGCTTTGACTCCCACAAACCAGCACCTGTGTGCTTCCCAGGAAGAGTTTTCCACCAAGCCTCTCTAGTCTGATTCTGAGTTCCCTATGTGACTTTTTGTAGATTTAGATAGATATTCTGTCAAATAATGTGTAATTATCTTTGATTTTGTTTCCTTATTCTCAGGGATCTAGTTTCCTTATTCTCTCAGATCTAGATTCCATATTCTGTGAGATTTAGTTTCCTTAGAATAGAGTTTCCTTCTGAAGAGGATTCTCCCTGTATATATATAGGGTCTTTGTACATCTATTATAATTCAGTAGAGTGAAGATTCATATTATATAAAACTACATGGTATCAGAGCTTAGGGTTTGATTCCTGTTAATTGCCCTACTGCGTTCTGAGTTTTTTTTTTCACTCTTCTCTTCGGATCTATTTTTTTTAACTATTCCTTTGGTTAATCATGTCCAAAGATTCTGGCATGTCGAGTCCATCATCTGACTCACAAACCCTATCACCAATTCCTTCCAGTCTGGATGTTAACTCGTTTCAGGCTTTACAAATTACGGTGGTCCGGCTTAATGGTCAGAACTATTCAGAATGGGCTCAATCGGTCAAGCTTGCCTTGGACGGACGAGGCAAGTTTGGTTTTTTAACTGGAGAAGAACCAGAACCTGCACCAACTGACCCTTCTTTCCGGCGATGGCGATCTGCCAACTCCCTGATTGCTGGTTGGCTGCTCAATTCCATGGATGAACGGATCCGTCGGCCGTTCATGTATATGGATCCTAAGGATATATGGGATGTTGTTCGTGAGGCATACTCTAATCGTGGCGATTCATCTCAAATATTTGAGTTGAAGAAAAAACTTTGGCTCTCTAAACAAGGTGACAGAGACATCACTACTTATTTCAATGAGATGCTCTCTCTGTGGCAGGAGTTGGATTTATGCTATAATGATGACGTTTGGGAAAATCCAAAAGATCTTGTACGTAGAGAGGAAGATGATCGTGTCTTCATGTTTCTTGTTGGCGCCAATCACAGTTTTGACGAAACTAAAGGAAGAGTTCTTGGCCGTAAGCCCCTACCAACGGTCAGGACTGTTTTTTCTGAACTTCGCCAGGAAGAGGCACGAAAAAGGGTGATGTATGACCATGCTCCCTCAATTCCAGAGAGCGACAACATGGCTTTGGTTTCAAAGCATTTTAATGGTGCAGGTGACAAGAAAACGCCATTCTCTTGTGATTTCTGTGGGAAGTTGTGGCACACAAAGGATAAATGCTACAAGCTTCATGGGAAACCATCGTCTACAAAAAAGAAGGGGGACGGGAGAGCTACTGCTGCCATGGCTGAAACTTCTGAAGAAAAAACAGCTTCTCCAGAACCACTACCTTTCACTCAGGAACAACTACAGCACCTGTATAAGCTTTTTAACTCTCCACAATTCACACTTAATTCATCTTCTTCCCCTGCTCCAGCCCAGAAAGGTATTCCTTCCGCTTTTGTTTGCTCCACTCCTTCGAGTTCTTGGATCATTGATTCTGGGGCTACGAATCATATGACACATTGTTCGCAATTATTTTCTTCCTATGAACCTGCAGCAGGGAATAACAAAGTGAAAATTGCTAATGGCTCTCTTGCTGCAATTGCTGGCAGAGGGACAATTCAAATTTCTCCACCTATCACTCTTTCTAAAGTTTTTCATGTCCCTAAATTGTCATGTAACTTGCTATCCATTAGCAAAATAACCCGTGAGCTAAATTGTCTAGCTATTTTCTCACCCTCTATGTGCTATTTCCAGGACCTGAACTCGGGGAGGATGATTGGCAGTGCTAGGGAGTGCGACGGGCTGTATTATCTTGAAGATGGACTGCCTTCAAGTATGGTTGCCCAAGAATCTCCTCATAAATTAGAGTCTGTGTCTACTGATCAAGATATTATGTTATGGCATTTTCGTATGGGTCATCCTAGTTTTTTTTATTTGAAACGATTGTTACCTAAGTTATTCATCAATAAAGATCCATCTTTTTTTAAATGTGAAGCGTGTGCTTTAGCTAAACATCACAAGTCTTCTTATCCTTCTCGTATTTATATTCCCTCTAAACCCTTTCAATTAATTCATAGTGATATTTGGGGTCCATCTAGGATCCCTACTTCTTCTGGTAAAAGGTGGTTTGTCACTTTTATTGACGATCATACGCGTCTTACTTGGTTATTTCTGATGAAAGACAAACATGAAGTAGTCGATATTTTTAGAAAATTCTACAACATGGTCCAAGTTCAATTTAATGAGAAGATTAAAATATTTCGTAGTGACAAGGTCGGGAGTATTTTTCTAATACCCTGACTCAGTTTTTCAATGAAAAGGGAATGATCCAACAAAGCTCATGTGTTGATACGCCACAACAAAATGGTGTGGCGGAAAGGAAAAATAGACACCTACTTGAAATCACACGAGCATTATTACTAGCTCATCATGTTCCTAAATATTTTTGGGGAGATGCCCTTTTAACTGCTGTTTACTTGATTAATCGCATGCCCTCTAAACCTTTATCTTTTCAAACTCCTATCCAAAAATTTCATGAGTTTAATTGTGATCTTAAACCGTTTGTAAATTTACCCTTAAAAATATTCGGCGGCACTGTGTTTGTGTCTAATCGGGATAAAACTAAGTCTAAACTTGATCCGCGTGCAATAAAATGCATTTTTCTTGGATATTCAGCCTCTCAAAAAGGCTATAAATGTTATGACCCGGTCTCAAAAAAATATTTTGTCTCCATGGATTGCAATTTCTTTGAGAGATCACCGTTCTTTTCCCCTCAACTTCAGCTTCAGGGGGAGCCTTTATCTAGGGGGAGTCAAGAAGCTTCAGTGAGTGTAGGTGATTTAGATTTTTTGAATCTTGACTTAGATAATGATATTTCAAATGAAATCACCCCTCATGAATCTGCCATAACTAAAAGTCCTGATGATTTACAACATACTTCAATATATGACAAGAGATTTGGACAAACATACTCTAGAAAACGTCCACCGAAGGGTGTACAGCCAAACATTCCCATGCACGACCAAGATGAATCCCCACAGACAGGTAAAGTTTCTCCTGATCCAATTCCATTAACTCTTGATTCTAATCTCAATCCTTCTGAAGTTGATATGCTTGTTGCCCTTAGAAAAGGAGTGAGAAAATGCACTATTAAATATCCTATGTCTAATTATGTGTCTCTTCAGAATCTGTCTCCTTTTTCTTGTTTCACCTCTCATCTTAATCGTGTGGAGTTCCCAAAATCTATACAAGTAGCTTTACAGATTCCTGAGTGGAAGGCAGCAGTTCTGGAGGAAATGAATGCTCTTAAGAAGAATCAGACATGGG